TTTTTTCCATTTACTTTTTTCTTCTTTTCCTGTAAGCTTAGAGAATGATCAACATTTTAATTTTAGCTGGATGCTTTTGGCAATTTTTTTCTGTGATTTTTCAACCAGCATCAATACCCACCCTAGAGAGATCACTTCCCTTCCACATATGATGTTGCATTTGGGACCAACAGTGGTCAGACCTGCCAAGTCAGATTTCTTGCCTCTTCTCCCAGCCTTCAAGGAAACTCAAGTAACAAACTAGCTTTTCTGATGTGGGGCTCAGTCCTCAACATGGGGGGATTGTATCTGTAGTGGGAGTGTAATTTGACCGTGTTAAGAAATATACCTGGCATTTTGATATTTGATCATCTTCCATCTCCCTGGCTTCTCTGAATTAACAGTATTCAAACTCAAGCCTCCTCATAAGACAGCTCTAAGCAAATATTTCTCTCTCTCTCTCTCTCTCTCTCGTTGTACTGTCTATTATTCTCGTTTGAGCTTTTTTCATTTTGGAAATCTGAAAGGAGAATTTCCTGGGGCTGCCTTGGAATTTTTCCATATTGTTTCCCTCAAGGTCAGCAAGCAAACACTTCTCAGCTCTTGGGTTTTTAACGCTTGCCTGAAATCCCAGCATGCTGAAAATGTCAATGTACTTTTGAACCAAAATGTAAGGGAAGGGCAAAGCTAGCACAGAAGATCTTTGAGAGCTAGCCAAGGTCTGGTTAACCCTCCATGGGAAAGATGTGCAAACTCCTGTTGGGGTCTACCAAGTCCATAGCACAGTTGAAGAACCAATCAGATTTCTTAGAAGCTGAGTAGCTCTGAAGAATCTCCCAATACACGGCTTTATGGGTAATTAAAGCCCTAGAAGAAGAGATGCATGTTAAATTGGAGGCGTGTGCGCCTTGCCTTTCGAAGCCCCAGAATAAGCTACCAGCCATTGAGGAGGAGCTACAGACTGTGAGGCAAAACTGCATCAGTTGAAACAAGGGAGGTTGAAAGCGTCGAGCACGTATCCATGGTGCTAGTTAAAGAAAATGACTCACCAGCCGAGAAGAAGATGGGGAAACAAATCGAACTATATGTTAGAACCTGAGGTTATCAATGGCACCAAAACCAGCATCTAGATGAAAGATTCATTTGAACTCACTAGAATTTAAAGTGTGGCTCTACTCCGGGAAGTTACTAAAAACAGGATCATGGGGCTCCATGTGTACTGTCTTGTCGAGAATCTGTAGCAAATTTGCTTACTTTACAAGTAAAAAGGATGTATTTTCTGACTGCAGACTCACCCTGTGTTATTTCTCTCTGGTCCTTCCGGATTGTCCATTACCATCACTATTTTTTAATGACTCCTGTTATTCCCAAAATTAGGATTATTGTATTTGAATAGTGCCTTTCATCTAGAAGAACCCTAAAATGCTGTACAAACTTCACAGACTGATCCATAGCAATGTAGGCTCATACTGTCATGTGGAATTAAGTGAGAACTTCTTCATATACATTGATGGCATGATATTTCCCAAAGTGATTATAAAAAAAAAAAGTTATGAATACATTGTGTGGGTTGGATTTATACTGTGTACACACACATACACGCACTAAAATCCTTCAGAAAAGTCTGTAAGCAGACTCAAACTCAACCACCATGAAGTACTTCAGCATGCAAGAAATCTCTGATGGTGGAGCTACTTTTTGTATTAGCTCACCACCCCTAATGAAATGCTAAAAGAAAGCTCAGCTCAGAAATGCTGGCAGCAACATGCGCAGAGGTTGACAAGAGAGGATGGTTTAAACAAGCTTTAAAATATACCGGTCAATCAATAGGCTTCTAGAACCTGGATACCTAGCAGTGTCTAAAGCAGGGCTAATTTATCTCCCTTAGAAAGACTGCTGATTGTAATGATAGTGGCACACAGACAGAATAATTGATAAGGAATGCTTGAAGATTGCTTTTAAAAATGAATGACTGTAAATCTGTTGTAAGCACAGTAGAATATGGGGCACCCAGCTATTAGGGATGTTACTGAATTAAAAAGTGCTGACATTCTGTATAGTTTATTCAGGTGGTAAAGTTGAAGGCCTGACCCTGCAAACACTTACTGCTGTGAGTATTAACTAGGGACAGTGTGTGCAAGCAGTGCAACAGTAATTGTTTGAAGGATTATGCCGAGCAAATCCAAGGCCTTCCTCTGAGCACCTAGCTTATGTCTACACTGTAATTAAAAACCCACAGCTAGCCTGTGCCAGTTGACTCAGGCTTGTGGGGCTCATGCTGAGGGGCTGTTTAATTATGGTGTAGACATTTGGGCTCGGGCCCAGGCTCTAGGACCCTGCGGGGTGGAAGGGTCCCAGAGCTCAAATGTCTACACCACAATTAAACAGTCCCTTAGCCCAAGCCAGAAGAGCCTCAGTCAGCTGGCATGGACCAGCCATAGGTGTCTGTGACGACGCACCCCATAAGGCTTTATGGAAATATGCTTACGAATGTATATATGACATACCTTGAATATGTTTTATGCTACATATGCCATGTACCATATCTCTGTAAAGTTTATAATCTTCTGAATCTATTCCTCCTATCTGTATACATGTATAATTTTTGTATTCAAAGTTATGAATATTGGCTGTGTACTTGCTTGATTTTAAGTAGCCTTAGTAAAGCATTTGGTCAGCTTCTTGAGATAGGAATGTGCAAGTTAAGTGCCCAATCAAGAAACACTTAACGGACAATGGATCTTGGAAGGCTCCAATCCACATAAGAAGTCTACTTGAGGACGTTCAAGGTAGCATGTGAACCATGGCTGCTACCTGTAAGTTCTGAGTCATGCATGGACGTGTGACTTGCCCATGTGACTCCAAAACTCCATCTTGTAGCTGGGATTCTACAAAGGGGGAGAGAGGGGCATCCACCCACAAGAGAAAGTCTATTTAAAACTCCTGGGAGACCCCCCCCCATTTTGTCTTCAGCTGGCTCAAGAGATAGCCTCTCCACCCCCCAAGGATACCTGAAAGAAACTGGAACAAAGGAGAGTAACTACAGGGGGTCTGAGTGATTGCTGGACCCAGACTAGAAGGAGACTAGTCTGTAAAAGGAAGCTTACTGGAACACCTCTGAGGATGAGGTTTTATCTGTATTCAGTTTTCTTACTGTATTAGACATAGACTAATTCTATTTTATTTTGCTTGGTAATTCACTTTGTTCTGTCTGTTACTACTTGGAACCACTTAAATCCTACTTTCTGTATTTAGTAAAATCACTTTTTACTTATTATTTAACCCAGAGTATGTATTAATACCTGGGGGGGGAGGGGAGGGCGGGTCAAACAGCTGTGCATATCTCTCTATCAGTGTTATAGAGGGTGAACAATTTATGAGTTTACCCTGTATAAAAGCTTTATACAGGGTAAAATGGATTTATTTGGGGTTTGGACCCCATTGGGAGTTGGGCATCTGAGTGTTAGAGACAGGAACATTTCTTAAGCTGCTTTTAGTTAAGCCTGCAGTTTGTGGCACATGGTCCAGAACTGGGTCTGTGATTGTAGCCAGCAAGCATGTCTGGCACAACCAGGCAGGGTTTTGGAGTCCCATACTGGCAGGGAAAGCAGGGGCAGAAGTAGTCTTGGCACATCAGTTGGCAGCCCCAAGGGGGTTTCTGTGATCCAACCTGTCACAGTGTCTAATTGCATTGTAAACATATCCATACAGCAGATCCAGAGGTGTTTTAATGGACAAGAAGAAGGAGGAGGTAATATTACAGAGGGCAGGGACAGGGAGGTATGGGTGGTCCAGAGGATCCACTGCTGCATGCCGCATCTTCACCCCAGTGTTTTTTGGGGGGAGAGGGGCATGTAGGGATCCACAGAGATGACTTCCTTGTCCCTCTCAGCATCTTTGCCTAGCATCTGGCCCAGCTACTTGGGCCATGCAGTGTGTAGAGCAGGGCTGGGCAAACATTTTGGCCCGAGGGCCACATCTGGGTATGGAAATTGTATAGCAGGCTATGAATGCTCACGAAATTGGGGGTTGGGGTGTGGGCTCCGGCTGGGGCCAGAAATGAGGAGCTCAGGATGCAGGAGAGGGTCCAGGCTGGGGCAGGGGGTTGGGGTGCGGGGGGGGGGTGAGGGCTCCAGCTGGGGGTGTGGGCTCTGCGGTGGGGCTGGAGATGAGGGGTTGGGGGTGCAGGAGGGTGCTCCAGGCTGGGACCAAAGGGTTCGGAGGGTGGGAGTGGGATCAGGGCTGGGGCAGGGGGTTGGGGTGCGGGAGTGGGGCAGGCTCTGGACGGTGCTAACCTCAAGCAGCTCCCAGAAGCAGCAGCAAGTCCCTGCTCCGGGCTTCTACGTGGGAGCTCGAGGGCCGGATTAAAATGTCTGGAGGACCAGATGCGGCCCTTGGGCCGTAGTTTGCCCACTCCTGGGGTAGAGGATTTGCCCCAAAATGAAAGGACAAAACAGGCTTCTTTTTTTGTTTGTTTGTTTTTTGGATATAAAAATTCCAGTGCAGCATTTGTAACCCAAATGCTGCAGCAGTGTACTAGTGCACAAGGGCCAGCTACTCGTCTGTTTTCATTGCCCAAAGTCAGCAAAGTGCAAAATGTAAGCACACCTAGTAAAGACACACCATAAATGGTGACAGGGAATTGGATGCCTCAGGAGTAAGCAACAAAGGTATCACTTTTAACAAGCAAGAAAAGTCATTTTTAAGAATATGATTTTTAAATTGACAGTGTCCCGTTCAATATTCTGAACCAGCATTAATTGGCCATGCCCTTTTCTGCGGGGTGTGAACATTTTTGTTGACTCAGACCCAGTGCGGTAGCTGGTGTAAATGCTCGGGCGTGGTAATGCGTACACAAATACTGAGGGAAAATGGCGGGGCAGGCCTTGGCTTAAGAATGCAGCACTCACAACAGATTTCAGCGTAGCAGCCGTGTTAGTCTGTATCTGCAACAGTCTCCCAAACTGAAGAATATCTCGACTGTGAGATTTTCTAGCCAAAACCTTGAAAAAGCCTCTTACCTTATTTTCCAATCTTCCAATCAGTTCAGCTAATCTGTTAATCTGAGCTTCCAGCCCTTCTTCCTTGGTTTCTGAGGAACCTAATGTAAGAAGCCAAGTATAAATACAGCAAAAAAACGAAGCCTACACGTACATATATGCTCTGAGCATATAATGAAGGTGCTTAAAAGCAGGTTGGTTTCTTAGTTTGCTCTCTGAAAGGGCCTGATCCAACTCTCCCAGAAAGTCAATAGAAAGACATTTGAGTTTAGTGCTGGTTTGAGCCTAGTACCAATATTTAGCCTAAACTGAAGAAGGGAATAGAAATTACTGTTAAAAAGGGATATGTTTACACAGCAGCTGGGAGGCGCAATTCCCGGCGCAGGTAGACATCATGCGCTAGCTCTGCTCAGGCTCGAACGCTAGACATAGCAGTGTGACTTTGGTGGCTGCAAAGTTATCACCAAGACCCAAACTTTCCCAAAGTCTGGATGTAGAGCTTTGGTTCAGGTCTGTGTCTCTATATAATTGTAATGGTCTTATTTGATCTCATTTCATTTTTAGTTCTTCAGCAGGAGATCAGCTCCCCTTCTTAAGGAAATGCAGGGGCCTGCATTCATGTCCTATTCAAGTTAGCTTCATGCTGATTCCCTGCACGAATCCCCACGGAGCACGTATAACGAATACCCAGTCTGTGCCGGAAGGGCCTTCCCAGGGTCAACGGTCACACTTCAATCCTTACAGAAACAATTATTCTCTGCAGCTGGCAGATATTACACATTGTTCTCGGATTGTTCCCTCTGTAACCTGCCATTACCAGAAATCCTTTGGCAGCTGCCTGGCCACCAGGCAGTTTACATCTCACTTACAGCACTGCAGAAGAAGCTGAGGGTCAGGCATACACAGACAAGATAGCCTGCAGAAGACCTGCCAGTAAGGTTTAGGTTTCGTCTCAGTTACAGAAATCAGCTCTTGTCTGAGAAACACTTTGCCAGCAGCACCAGGGCCGTGTTTGCACCATGATGCTGATGCTGATGGACATTTGGGACTATGAGTTCAGTTCTCAACCCTACTGGCCTGAGGACTTTGCCATGCAGGATTTTTGGACTAGCTCCTCAGGAAGGTCATTCCTTTGACCAGCTGAATGGCTTGTGACTTGTTTTAGCACTAGAGAGTTTCTTGGAGACCCTTGTTAAAGCACTGGCTCCAAACAGAAGGAAAAGTTGGGATGCATCCTTGCCTCTGATAAGCTTAGCATGCGACCTCCTGTCCAAACAGTATCTTCCGGGAAAGCATTTCCCATTTGGGGAGCTGCTCTGTCCTTTGCTGAGTAGGACTGCGCTGCTCTCCAAATACTACTGCAAAGATCCAAACCCAGAACATTTATTCCTCCTGTTCCAAAAGACAAGGACACAGAATGCAACAACCCTGGGACTGCTTGTGACATTGCTACTGTTAAATGCTGTGGCAAGGGATTGGCAGTAAGCAGACATGTACCACAAACACATTTGCTTTTGCTGGTGCTCTTCCCTGAGAACCAATTTAGTTAGGGTCTCTGTCGCTGAGAACTGATGATTAGAAAGTGTGGAGGGATGGGGTTGAGGAAGCATTCTCCATATGTCTCATATATCAATGTTTCGTCAAGCTTATTTGTTAACTGATGTGGAAAGGATTATGTTGACAGAAAGCACCATGGAGATGGATGCAGATCGCTGCATCGTATAGTCCCATGAATATACACAGCAGCTAGAGATGGGGTCAAGCAGCAAAAATTTGATCCCGACTTGCTCAAAGTTTTGGGGTATTAAGGTTCAGGGATGTTTGAATCAGAGGTTGAGCTTTGACTCATTAGAGAGATGAGGGACAAGTTCACATGTGAGTTTCCCCAAAGCTCAGGAGTGTTCTGCACCATGGTTGTAGTTTTGGAGGGGTCCTGTGATAATATGTGTACCCCACACAGTCAAGAAAAGGGTTAAGGTGGGCCTTGGGCCAATTATGTTACCTGGCTGCATGTGCAGGGTGGACCAGAGGAATTAAAGATGAAGCCCCTCTGGGGAGCAGCTGGGTGGTGCTGTGAAGAAATAAGTCTGGAGCAGAAGTGGAGGCTGATGGCTGGCTGGGCTGGGGCAGCTGCTGGCCAGGCTCCAGGCTGGCAGTGTAGGCTGAGAGGGGTTAAGCACTGGGACTTGGAACTCAGCCATGGTTTAGGCTGATGACTGGCTTGCTGGAAATATAGTCTGAGAGGGAAAGCCTGAAAGTTATGTTGGAAAATGAGGGAGAAGAAACAAGGGATGAGGAAGGCTTCAGAAAAAGAAGAAGAAGAAGAAAAGAATAGAAGTATCTGTATCTGGAGAAGAGGGAGCAGGTAGGAATGGAAAAAAGAGTAAGGAAAAGGACTGACATTTTATAATTATCAATTTACTAGCTGAAGATGTAAAGATGGGAGATGTTAATCCCATGAAAACAGTGGAATGGATTCAGTGACGTATCAGAGATATATTAAGAGCTAAAAGAATGCAGAGTGGAGATTCATTAGTAGAATGTACACATAAGCAACAGGCTGAGAAGCTTCTTAAAAATACAGTTTTAGGGACAAAAGAAGTAATTTGCTAGCTACCTAAATTTATGACAGAAGCAAGAGGGCGTAATGTATGGGGTTCCCCTAGGCATGACTGAGGATGAAATTGAAAGGGCAAAAGGGGAGGACCAAGTGCTGTTTGTTAAGTGATTGATTAGCAGGAGATGGGGAGAACACAACGATTCGAGTAATAGTTAAAGGTGCAATGCCACCTGATAGGGTTAATATAGGATATCAGCTCTTCCGGATTAAGCCATGTATCCCGGGTCCTTTGAGACGGTATAAATGTCAAAGGTTTGGGCAGGTGGCAGCTGCCTGAAAGGGGGAAATGAGGTGTGGTACTTGCAGAGGAGAACACTCATATGAGAATTGTATGTAAGGACCAAAACTACAATGCAGCTCCTGTGGGGATAAGCACAGTGCAGCACTCAAAGGGTGCATGGCAGTGGAACGAATTAGAGAGATACAGAAAATTCAAACAATCCATAAAATATTCTATGCAGAAGCCACCGAAAGATATTCACAGTGAAATGTGGAGGAGGAGGAAAGAGCCAGTGATGGAGAAGAGCGGTTGGGACAATGACATGCAATTCAGGGAAGGACAGATAATATAAGGGGAACAGATGAAGATGTCCTGCTTGTAGGCAAAGAGAAATGTATAGCATTTATGATACAAGTGATTAATTGTACTTTACAGACAGGGGAGAAGACTGAAAGAATGAACATTATAACAAAAGTGGCAGAAAAGTATTGCATATGGTCAATCTCCCAATAGATCATATTCATGCAATTTTAAATGAAGGTAATAATGTAGTTTAAACAACATGGTTCTAATAGTTTTTCTGCTTTAACACACATAGCGTAATAACACATGGCCAGGAGTTAAAGAAACAGCGTTTGAAATGGAAAACAAACCTGGTGCGATATGTGTACAAGAAACATGGTGAGTGAGAAAACTTATGATTAGACTTCTAGGATATGATGTAATCAGACTATGCACTCACAGACCAGGTGCCAGCTCATGCCTAAGCCCCTGGCCACACTGACCACTTACAGCAGAACAGCTGGAAACCAAGCCAATTCACTTGTGTAGTAATATAGACTGTTTAATGTATAAGAATGTATTTGTGTTTCAACTTCAATGGGATTCTGTATCAATTGTTTTCACTTATCTGTATCCTGTTATAATGTAATAGCAAACCTTTACATTGTATATTCCCCTGTAACTAAATAACCCATCAAATGAGAAAGAAGCCTTGTATAATGCAAATGAAGATCTTTAATAGGAAAGTAGTAATTCTAGCACATTTCAAAGCAAGTGGTCTTTGTGTGTGTGATGAACGGAGATCAAAGACTCTAAATGCGCTCCTCTGTCTCGTCCTCAAAGAGCCCATGTAACAATGTAATTACCCTTGGAACTTGCTTTCTGTCAGAAGCCGCTGTAAGTATGGACACAAGGAAAAATTCTTCATCTTTGGACTGTTTGGATTCTAACAGGGCAAAGTAACTGAACAAGATGATCAGATCCTCAGAGTTACTCTGAGTAGCCCTAAAAGATTTTGGGGAAACTGACAGATTACTACGTCTCTGTTACCTTTTGAAATTATAGAGTGTGATTCACCTGTTCATATATATTTTACTTCCATTCCCTCTCAATAATTCTCATTCCTTTTTCTTAGCCGATGAACCTTTAGTAAGTTTACTGTAGAATTGGCTTCCAGCATTGTCTCTGGTGTGAGATCTGGGATGCAAATCAATCTGTGGGAGTGACTGGTCTCTTGGGACTGGCTGTAACTGGGATTTGTGATTTTTGGTGTAAGTGACCATTTATCACATAGACAAGGTAGGTGAGGTAATATTTTTATTGAAAGAGTTCTGTGTAGCTCGAAAGCCTCTCTCTCTCTCACTCACATCAATAGAAGAGGGTCCTTGTCTCTCTAATATCCTGGGACCAACACTGTCACAACTACACTGCATACATTTATTGCATATTCTAGCTTGCCTGGGTGGCAAGATAGAGTCTGGAGTGTCTAAGGGGACTGTCTGTGACTCCATTATAAGACTGTTGTAGTAATTTAGGCATTCCCATTTGTTAGTGGCTTGGTAAAATTGAATGATAGAACATACCAGCAGTTGGGGGTGTCTGCCCTGCTTTGGACAGTTTGCCCTAACTAGGGTGACCATATAGCATGTCTGAAAAATTGGGACGGAGGTAATAGATGTCTATAAAAGAAAAAGCCCCAAATATCAGGACTGTTCCTATAAAATCAGGACATCTGGTCACCCTAGTCCTAACGTAGGCACTCACAATCGTGAGCCACTCCAGACAGCGGGACACAGACTTAACAGAGAAATAACAAGAGGAGGCGGGATCTGTATATTTAGAAAGGAAGGTCGTAGTTATGGTAACATAGAAGTACAGAACTTAAGTTTTGAGTGCAATGCTGTTGAGATTCCTCTGCAGAATAAAAGTACCTTTATATTCTAGGTTGTCTAGCATTATACCCATGTAAAATGCTAGACAACCTAGAACAAGAAGAGTTTGCCAACCATGCCAAAGGCCGGTATACTATTTGTGGAGACCTTAATAGCCATAATGAGTTATGGGGAAGTAGGAAAACTCATTATAATGGCAAATGCCTGAAACAGTTCATTGACATACACAAACTGGCATTGCTCGATATTGGAGTAACTGCTAGGTTTAATTCGGTGGATGGAACAGTTTCATGTTTAGATATGGGAATTGCAACAAGTAATGTAGCAAGTAAATGCATCTGGGAAATCAATAAAGAATCCCTATGCTAAATTATATATCCACACCACGGTAGTGTTGAAAACACTGAAAGGATTCCTACCTGGAGCCTTAGAAAAGCAAACTGAGAACTCTCTAAGAGTGAGTGTGCAGAGTTTCTAAGTGCCATTGAATAAGTGATAATCTAGAGGAATTTCATGATAATATAATAAAGGGAGTTGTTGCAGCAGCCACCTAGCTACACGTAAGACATCTAATTGCCACAAACTCGGAAATCCAGGTCCCTGGCGGCATGAAGATTGTAAAGCAGCAATTAAAGAATGAAATAAGGCATACAAACAAGCAAAAATACAATAAATAGCAAGAACTTAATGAATTATAACAGGTATAAAGCAGTGGCACAAAGAATTATTAAAAAGGCCATGTAAGAGAGTTGGAGAATGCATTGTGGAAAATTGAACAAAGATTCTGAGGTTTCAGAGAGAGAAACAAGTTAAAAGAATGAATGGGATACGGAATAAAAACAAATGTATACCTGGTTTTATAGTAAATGATTAGTGCTGTCGATTAATCGCAGTTAACTCACGTGATTAACTAAAAAAAATAATAATCGAGATTAAAAAAATGGATCATGATTAATCGCAGTTTTAATTGCACTGTTAAACAAGAGACTACCAATTGAAATTTAGGGATTTTTTGGATGTTTTTCTACATTTTCATATATACCTTGCATTCTGTGTTGTAATCGAAATCGAAGTGTATATTTTGATTACAAATATTTGCACTGTCAAAAATGATAAACTGAAGAAATAGTATTTTTCAGTTCATCTCATACAAGTACTGTAGTGCAATCTCTTTGTCCTGAAAGTGCAACTTAAAAATGTAGATTTTTTTTTGTTACATAACTGCACTCGATAAAAAAAAACAATTTAAAACTTCAGAGGCTACAAGTCCACTCAGTCCTACTTCTTGTTCAGCCAATCGCTAAAACAAACAAGTTTGCTTACATTTACAGGAGATAATGCTGCTCTCTTCTTATTTACGTCACCAGAAAGTGAGAACAGGCATTTGCATGGTGCTTTTGTAGCCCGCATTGCAAGGTATTTACGTGCCAGATATGCTAATCATTCGTATACCCCTTCAGGCTTCAGCCATCATTCCAGAGGACATGCTTCCATGCTGACGACGCTTGTTAAAAAAATAATGTGTTAATTAAATTTGTGACTGAACTCCTTGGAGGAGAATTGCATGTCTCCTGCTCTGTTTTACCCACATTCTGCCATATATTTCATGTTATAGCAGTCTCCGATGATGACCCTGCACATGTTCGCAAAAAGAAAAGGAGTACTTGTGGCACCTTAGAGACTAACCAATTTATTTGAGCATGAGCTTTCGTGAGCTACAGCTCACCACGGTATGCATCCGGTGAAGTGAGCTGTAGCTCACGAAAGCTCATGCTCAAATAAATTGGTTAGTCTCTAAGGTGCCACAAGTACTCCTTTTCTTTTTGCGAATACAGACTAACACGGCTGTTACTCTGAAACCTGCACATGTTGTTCATTTTAAGAACACTTTCACTGCAGAATTCATAAAACGCAAAGAAGGCACCAATGTGAGATTTCTAAAGATAGCTACAGCAGTTGACCCAAGTTTTAAAAATCTGAAATGCCTTGCAAAATCTGAGAGGGAGGAGGTGTGGAGCATGCTTTCAGAAGTCTTAAAAGAGCAACACTTTGATGCGGAAACTACAGAACCTGAACCACCAAAAAAGAAAATCAACCTTCTGCTGGTGGCATCTGACTCAGATAATGAAAATGAACATGTGTCAGTCTGCACTGCTTTGGATGGTTATCGAGCAGAACCTGTCATCAACATGGACGCATGTCCCCTGGAATGGTGGTTGAAGCATGCACATCTGGCACACAAATATCTTGCGACTCTGGCTACAACAGTGCCCTGAGAACACCTGTTCTCACTTTCAGGTGACATTGCAAACAAAAAAAACAAGCGGACAGCATTGTCTCCTGCAAATGTGGAGGGGAAAAGAATGTGTGCTGAAGAAAATGGTGAGCTCTTCATGGCTGGACAGAACATAAAGATGATGAACTGAATGAAAATTTCAGCATCCAGGAACTCAAAAAATCTATAGACAAAAGTAAAAATACAGCTCCAGGTCAAGATAGCATAAGTAATGCAATGCTTAAATACTTAGCAGAAGGGAGTTTCAGAGTTTTATTGAAATTATATAATAATACACGGAGAAAAGGAATACTACTGGCAGAATGGAAGCAAGTGTGGACAAAATTATGGAAAGAGTGATAAATGAGAGATTCGTAGCATTCTTGAAACTGTAAACGGTGCAAAGGGTTTCAGGAAAGGTAGGTGCACAGTTGATCATATTGTAAGATTAGAAACAGAAATACAAAAAAACACAAGGAACAGAGGGTTTATGGTAGCTGTCTTTCTGGACACTGAAAAAGCATATGACATGCCATGGAGGGAAGACTTGCTGTGTAAACTAGCCACAATTGGAATAAAAGGAAGAATGTTCTGGTGCATAAGAGATTTCTTATGTGATAGAATCTGGCAATTGCAATACATTGAATATTTATAAATAAAGGTACGATTGTGTCACGGAGGTCACGGATTCTGTGACTTTCTGGGATCTCTGGGACTTCTTCCGGGACAGGGTTGGAGCAGCTGTCAGCCCCGGAAATGATGGAGCAGCTGGTGGGCAGCCTGACTGCTGGAGCCTCAGTCCCCGGGCCGCCAAAGCAGCAGCTGGGTTTGAATCAGTCCTCCTCCGGGGTATTTTTAGTAAAAGTCAGCAACAGGTCACGGGATTCTGTGACTTTTTGTTTATTGCCCATGATCTGTCCCTGATTTTTATGAAAAGTACCTGTGACAGAATGTTAACCTTATATATAAACTTACTAATGGCACTCCACAGGCGAGTGTTATCAGCCCCGCCCTGTTTTACATTATGATTAATAATCTCCCAGAGAGTATACGAGCAGGAATAGGTATTGCTCTATTTGCGGTTGACTGTGCTATACAGGCCGAACACAGAAGACTTAACAGAGTTGTGGAGAGAACCCAGGAAGTGCTCAGGGTGATTTCAGAATGGGGAGATACTTGGGGATTTAAGTTCTCACTGGCTAAAACAAATCTTCACAAGAAAGACGATTGGGGAAGAATGGAACCTTTATGCAGAAACAATACAGGTAGTTCAAAATTTTACTTTCTTAGGAGTTATGTTTGATAAACTAACTTAGAAGGCTCATCTAGATAATATCATGACTAAATGTACAGATAGGGTGCATTTGTTTAAAAGTATTGCTGGGAACAAAGGGGGGGCAGAAAGAACACATTGCTGGTGCTGTATAGAACATTCAGGGGCAGCTCTACCAATATTGCTGCCCAAAGCAGCCGCCGCCGAATTGCCGCCACGGGACACGGACGGCCGCCCCATTCTCAGTGCCGCCCCAAGCACCTGCTTGGAATGTTGGTGCCTGGAGCCGGCCCTGAGGACATTAATAAGATCAGTTATAGATTATGGATGCCAAGCCTTTAATTCAGCTTCTAAATCAACCCTAAAAATATGAGCGTTGATCCAAGCCCAAGCTCTTTGACTTGTATGGGGGAGGACTTTTATGACTCCGTTGTGCGCAATGCCGGGAGCAAGCAGAGAAATGCCTACACTATTCCCAGCCACGAAGAGGCGGGTTAGCAGCGAGTCCGACCTTTCCAAAGGCCCATACGACAGAGTATCAAAATGCAAAGAACATATAAAATACTCACCAGTCTGGAAGCTTTTCCTGTGCTCCTTGGTCACGATTCTGTTATTGGGGGAATAACTAGGCACAGGGTTGTCATACCAGGTATCCATTACACCATGGCCAGATTTACTGTGGTAGCCTCTGCAATTCAAGAACATACAGATAATTAAAGAGACGATAACAGAACACACTCTAGGTAACCCCTGTCACCTCCCTATATTCATAAAAATATGTTTCAAACACAGTACAATTTCAGAGATACGAACACCTTGGGAATAGAGGTTGTTTGTAACTCTGAAATGTTCATAACTCTGAGCAAAACGCTATGGCTGTTCTTTCAAAAGTTTACAAATGAACATTGACTTGGTACAGCTTTGAAATTTACCATGCAGAAGAAAAATGCTGTTTTTAACCATCTTAATTTAAATGCAACAAGCACAGAAAGTTTCTTTACCTTGTCAAAACTTTTTTTTTTAAATTTTCCCTTTATGTTTTTAGTAGTTTACATTAACACTGTACTGTATTTTCTTTTTCTTTTTCTTTTTTTTTAGTCATCTCTGCTGCTGGATTCCGTACTTCCAGTTCCAAATGAGGTGTGTGGTTGACTGATCAGTTAGTAACTCTGGTGTTCATAACTCTGAGGTTTTATGGCATTTGCCATGACATGCCCTGCTGAACGGTGATAGGACAGGACCTCAGCAAATCAAAAGCCTCTTGTTTCCTCCATCTGGCTACAAATTCAGTGTCCAGTGAACTACAGTATTTTCACAAGTGCACAGCAGCAATCTAACTCTGCTCCCTTTGAAGTCTATAGCACAACTCCCATTGACTGCACTGGGAGCAGCGTTAGGCCAGGGCTGAGCACTTTTGAAAATCCTCCCTTTATCTTTTGATATTGCAGAAGTTTCAGGGCACACACACAGCTATGACCACCACATACCACTCTTAGGGACGGAGGTATAAAAGAAAAAATGGGCACATCCAACCAAATGAACTGAAAGTCAACCTCCCCACCTCTCTTCCCCTCATCTCCCAGGCAGAAGCTTGAGAAAAGAGAGATGGATCTTACAGTGTGTCCTTAAGTTCAGAAAACTTGGGCTCGATCAAAACAAGCAAGAGATGCACTAGTTGCTGCAGAAAACAGGAAGGAATTCCTTCTGTCTCCATCTATGTGCAAACGCTCCACAACAGACCAGGTGTATTATGGGCTTTTTCCTACTTCCTCTGAAGAGCAGACCTCTGGGGTGGCTTGTTTAAAATGTTTACAATAAGCAATATTACATCAGCTATGATGGGGAATTTAACATTTAAATCATCTCTAGGGACACACGCATTTTAAAAAAGAAGCCTTAACCAGCACATAGGAAATGTGTATTCCTTTTTATTATATGAGCTTATATGAAGGTCATGAAAGTCATGTGGCTTTTATGAATCATTGCAAGAAGCTGTAAACTGTATGTGAGATGGAGAAAAAAAAATCTCTGTTTGGTACACAGAGAATGGAAAAGGATTAAAATAAATGGATCCAGAATTCACTTTTGGGGCTCAAAAAGTCTTTTATTAGACTCACTGAACCTAGTGCAATTAGTTACATTTGTGTTATTGTCCCAAAACATGCATCTAAATGGTGATTTGAAATGAGCGCAATCATACACATGCGCTTAACTCCGCTGATGGCAAACAGATGCTTTCAATGAGAAGTCTATTTGAAGACCAGGATGTGCTTGATAAGCAGAGCTTCTTGAACTATTTATTTTGAATAATTTTCATTACAAATTCAGTCCATTTTTTCTGGTTAATAAATCATTCAGAACCGATTCCAGTTGCAAATGCATTTGCTCCCTGGAATGGATGACAAGAACTTTTGACATAGACAAATATTTATGCTAAAATTTGTGAAAATATTGAAGTAGTTGTCTGAATACTGATAATCAATCAATAATATGTGACACCACGAGACACACTCAACACTTATTCCCCAAAACAGTCAGGAGGCAGTTTGGGGTTGTGATTATTTATTTTATTTTTTTTTAAAGAGCTCGCTGATAAGTCAGGAAACAGCAGAGTGAGTATTTTCTGAACAGACCCCGTGATACTGTATGCTACTGAGAAGTCAGTGTTGTGCCATATCTAGAACCAAGTAAATAATGTTCCCTCCATTATTCATCAGATTTCACCCTTCTTTCCTGTTCATGACATATTCCTGAAATATGACACATGGCCAGAAAGAGTTAAGCGTCCAGCAGGATAAATGACTCAAATTCAACAACCTTAAAGACATATGGGGAAATAATGTTTGTGTTTTACATATATATTAGTAGAGGTCAACAATGTAATCAGTCCCTGTTTATGCTGTATTCTGTTAATTCAGAGATCAAAAGGACATCTTAACATTTAAATGAACTGTAAACATAAGATATCCCTGTATTCATCTCTCTTTGAAAGGTACAGCAAATCATCTGCTAATGGTGGAAAAACAGGGAATTGCCTTATGTTAATCTGTGTGGATATTTACTGGTGATGCTCAGGAAATGGGTCCACTTCAAAGTCCCCATGAGTGCCTATTGTTCACCGAAGGACTCTGAGCTGTCACAAGAAGTCCTGAAACTTCTTAAAGTATAAAGATGTTTGGGTCCCAATCCTTTTTATCTCAGATCTGCTTGACGCTTCATGCAGGGGAAGCCTAAACCATAAGGACTGAGATCCCAGTTCTCACTGGACCAGCCTGGATATAAACATTGGACTATAACCTATGGACTAATTCTATAAGAACTCTTTGCAACTACAAAGCTCACCATCTCTGCTATGAATCTGAATCTCAAGAATTGAACTCATGTCTGTATGTATACTGATCTTTTAACCAATTCTCTCTCTCTTTTCTTTTTTAATAAATTTTAGTTTAGTTAATAAGAATTGGCTGTAAGCGTGTATTTGGGTAAGATCTGGAATATTCATTAACCTGGAGGTAATGTGTCTGATCCTTTGGGACTGGCAGAAATTTTTTATATGATGAATAAGATTTTCAGTAATCCTTATCATATTTGACTTGGGTGTCTGGATGGAGGCCTACGGCTGGGTTACTTTAAGGGAACTGTGTTGTTGTCTTCTGAGTAACCAGTGAGATATTATAGAAGCTGTTTTGTGCTGGCTTGGTAAATCTAAGTTTTGGAATATCCACCAGCTTTGAGGATTGTCTGCCCCATTCTTTGCAGTTCACCCTAATTGAGTGACCACAGTTGGCTCCCCTGGGCCTCCGGTCACAATCTGTTATTCCAACTTGTTCATGAAATTCTTTTGCAATTTTTCCACTATCTGAATATCTGGTTGACGGTTAATTGAAAATATCTAATATTCACATTACAAAAATTGTTCCCAACTGGTTAGTAACCTAGGACATGGGCTTTTTTTTTTTTTGTTCCCTGATTGGATAACATCACTAACTAACATGCATAGAAGAATTACCATCCCAAATGCAGTACTTAGAATATTCAAGCTCATAATTAGCTTTTCATGAGTATGTAAAGCTTGACCCCTTGAATGGTTGAGGAAATAAAACCTGAATGGATTGAACTGACATTCCCATTTGAAAACTAATAAATATTCATGGTAAGTTTTTCCTCACAATTTACTCTATTCTAGTCATCAGTTTACTGACCCACAATGTTCAATTTGGAAGCCTGGCTCTTCAAAGAATACACTGTAGCAAAAAAGATCTACTTCCGATGGGAAGTAAAGTCATCAGGCCAAGGGACTGGACTCAGACACTCTGGATTCTATTCCCAGTTCTGCCACAGACTTCGTGTGTCCTTGGCTTGGGCAAATGACTTAATTTTTGCATGCCCCTGTTACCCTTCTGCAAAATGTGGAGGAGGAGAATACTTTTCTCCCAATCCTTGGTCTGTCTTGTCTGTTTAGACTGTAAATTCATCGAGACAGGGTCTCCCTAATGTGTTTGTTCAATGCCTAGCACATCTCATTGGTGTCCTCCCCAGGTACTACTGTATTACAAAGAAATAACCTCATTTCAATACTGATTAGATAAAATATAGCCATCTGAATTCCATGCTTAGTACCTTACACTGATACATCCTGGCAGAATAATATGGACACAATTATTGGTCAAAAATGTTGCATACAAATGTTTCCACAGTTTGCGGGACAAGAAGAACAAATTCCAAGAGCTTCAGCTATGAAAGAGTGCCTCAGTGTTAACATTGGCCCCATAGTTTATGGAAGGGAGTTGTGTAAACTCAGCTTGGAAGTGATAGCGTCGGCACATTCCATCACTCGGTCAAGTCACAATTAGCATATATTGCAAGAGCCCACTCCCCAGCTCCTAAATGTTTTCCCGTCACGTTAAATATGTTGAGAATGAGCAACAGTCACAAGTTTTTCAAGTTTTTTCAAGCAAATCGCTTTCTCTTCACGTACCCGCCTCCTCTGAAAAGCGTCCATAAAATGGCATTGCAGGAGAGAGGGGGAGGGGTTCCATAACTATTCTGGGACCCGACCAAAGAGAAAGATTTTTACACAGCCATTTCTGCGGCTTTTTGACTGACTTCCAGTTTAATGGAGTCGTGCCGGCAGACTTTGCCTTGCTGCCTGCCCCAGTACAATCATGTTCTTTTCTGGCATACGTGTGGGTGATTCACTTCTCGGATCATCTCCATTTACTCTCTGCCTGAGGAAAGGAGTGCAGCACTCCTCTCTCAGGCTTCTTCAGCCCCCGCACTGGCTGACTTACTGCAGATGCACCACTGATGAGCGCTTGAGGAAACCATACCCAGAAGGAAGGGTTGGCTTGACTGTGGGCCTTGGAGGGGGATGGGTTAGAAGGTGCTGCCTTCCTCAGGGGTCCAAATGTGGTGTTTTCACAGCACCCCCGGGCCCTGCCAGCCTGAAGTCTCAGACCCCTTGCTCAACAGCTTGCCCTAGACTCCTGGGCCATCCCAGAGCTGAACAGCTTGAAGGTTTTTTAAATGTAAAACAAGACCAGATAGGTATTGAGAGATCCCTCATGGCTCTGTATTTTCCGGCTAAAGACAGTGACTAGGTCCTACTGTAAGTCAAGGGATAGACAAGACAGGCTGTCAACAAACCTAGACCCAAGCCCCCTGTCACATACCACATAAAGCAGGGCA